CGGCAGCGCCGAGCGCTGTCACCGGCGGCGGCGCCTTCCCAGAGGCCTCCGCGCCTCCCGCGAGGGCGGGCGGGCGGCGGGGCCGGGCCGGCTGAGGGACGGCAGCTCCCGCCCGCCCGTCCCGCCCAGCACGGAGACGCGCCAGGAAAAGGGCTGGTGGAGGCACAAAGTTCAGCACTGACATCTTTATTTTCCCTCCCCGCACATACGCGGCAGACGGATGATGTTCACCCAAGGCCCGGACTCAGGGCCCGGCTGCAGAGCAGTCCCGCGGCATCCACGGAGAGCGGCCGACACGGTTAGTGAGGAAGGCAGCACTGAGGAGATCTGCGCTGTTACCGAACGCGTGTTCTCATGCATGACAATGCTCGCTGCGACACAACACCTGAACTCAAGGCAGAGGTTAACAATACATCAAAAGGAGGTAGCACACACGTCATGTCTTAGGTACAGCCATAACTGATGCTGGGGGGAAGGGTAAGGCATGAGCAAATAAAGAAGGCATTCAACAAAAACCTTTCTAAATAAGTAACAGAAGCCCAGCACAAAATTTAGCTCATTCTCCTCATGTCCGTGGAAGGAAGAATACAAAAAACCCTAAACTAGTATTCCAAGACTGACATTTCTTATGGGATATTGGGCATTCATTGCTGGTGATGATGACACCCCAGCTCTGCTTTTTCATCCCTCCTAGAAAAGGCACTCAGCGCCTGCAAGTTTCATCTTCAGGACCTTAGAAGCTTCCCCAGGTGTGCTCCCGGCAGGGATGAGTGTGCACAGAGGACAGGAGGTCTGTGCAGAACAACAGCCCAGAGCACCCAGTTAGAGGGGAAGGAGAGATGTTCTGCTAGCATTGATAAGTTTGTATGCCTACATTCACAAGTAGTATTTTCCAGAACATACTGGATTAAAATCACCTTTATGTTGGTCTCATATGTAAAAACAATTAAAACATGTATCTTATCTGCTGACTTGAAAAATTCCAAGCCCGCATAGAGCCATGTTAGAGAGCTTTAAAGACAAATTCGGCTGAAGAGCAATACGAACAAAGTAATATGTAATAAAGTAAGTGCAAAAAAATCCTTTCCATTACATTACTTTCCCAAATGTAAAAGGTTATCATGTAGTGTTTACACAGTAAAAACTATTAGATTTTCAGAACTTTTTCACACCGCTCAGAGATGTCACCAATATGTTAAACTCAAATACAGAAATTTTAAATATTCTAATAAAAATAGCGCTTTTTTCTTTAAATAAACCACAAGTAAGTAGAAGGCAAATATACCAGAGTATGCATAGCTTTCAAAATGTAAAATACATCATGGACAACTGAGTATCCTTCTTCATTTATCTGATGTAATGAATCTTAACAAGTCAAGATTGGGGGACAACATTGTTATTTTGGATACACATACTGGAGAGCATAGATGGGAGAATGACATTTAGAGGACAAAAGTCATATAATTCTGCATATTTAGAACACACATGTTGTATGCTCTGAACTTCCCTGAAAACATAGTACAACTCAGTGCATATACTGAATTAAATCCAGAGGCGGTATATTTTTATTCTTTTGAAAAAAATACTGTTTTAAATATTCAATGTCCTCTAAATTTTGACTTACTTTATGCAACTATACCTTTAGATTTAGTTTTCATATACAAAATATTTACACTTTATAAACTTGCAGAATTTCTAATAAACTATATTATATACACTTACACAAAACTTAATTTATATATAATCCTATTATATCTTGCAGATCAAAACTCATCACATGTACAATAATTTACAATGACAGAAGCCTCAAGCATCAAAATATTTCCTTTAAAATAACAATATTAGTCCTTTACAGATTCTGATTTGTAGCATTTCCTGGATTGCTTGAATAACATTAAACTTCTGAGAATATGCAAGATTTTAATTAAATATCAAGAGTAAAGTTTGTACTGTCATAAGAAATGCTTGCAACTATTTAAAAATTACCTGAAAGGAACAAATTAAAGATTTATAAAAAGCCTCTGAAAGGCAGGCTTGACATTAGAACTCACTTGAATGTTCAATATAAGTGCACATACTATATGCAAATCTTGGATACTGAAGCCACTTAAATACTTTAGAATAAATCTGCTGAACAGGAGTTAAATTAAACAGTAAAGTATAAATGTACAAGTTTTCAAAATTATTTATAACTGATATTTTTTGTCTACTTTGGTATAAAAGCTCCTTTGAACAGGCACATTTATGTTTAGAAGACAAACAGAAGCTTTAACACTATGGCTATTGCTGGATATTTAACAAATGTCTTTGTAGTTCTGTTTTTCATTTTATAAACCTTCTTTTGGAAACATTTAATTCTGTAATAATCCAAGATATTGATAATTTGTACTGTACTTTAGTGCTGAACAGCTAGTCCAAACAGAACTTCTCAGAAACCAGTACAACTTTAATTTGTTTTTAAAAAAACTAAAATTTACAATAAAAAGTTAATTTTTTTGTCTACTGAGCTATTTGAATTTTTTATTTAGAAGCATATCAGTGAAATGCCTTCCATATTTCTGTTTATTTAAAAAAAGGAAAATCTGGAATTTTTGGGTAATCAGAAAGTTTCAACATTTTTCTCTGACATCTTGCAAATTTATTTTTCTCTCCTGAACTCCATGAATGTATTCCTAACAGGAATAAAGACATACCTAATTTTATACAATATCAATATTCCTATTACCATTATTATCTTTATTCATGACATGTAAGACTGAGCATGAATTTCCTTAATAAAATGTAATAAATTAAAGCATTCTTATGAAAACAATAGATCAATTTAATTTCAATTGTACCAGACCTACCAAAATAACTCAAAGCCCTCCATGGCTATGAGTTGATTAATAATGTTCCCAGTCCACAGGTTCTAAAAGGCACATAATCGAAAAATTGGGTTTGTTTGTTTTGAAGTCCTCCTCAAATGAAGACAGTCTAAAATAATTTGTGTTAGGACAGTCTAGTGTAAGGCATTAGAATATTCCTTTTTATGCTATAGATCTATGTTAAGCACCACTTGTTGTTACAGTATAGAAAGAAGCCAACATTTTCTTCAAAAATGTGTTTGTACTTGGGACACCATTTGTGAGGGAGATGTTGATGAGGCTGATGAATTGGATATCTTAGAATTATTTGTGATCTGAAGCTCTTCAAGTCTCCTGATATAATCATCACGCAATGCAAGGAGCTCCATGTAACGCTGCTCCACGGGGTTTGGCTGCTAGGAAGAGATCCATGTTAGTCTTAGCACTTCACTACAACTACTTGCACACAGGCTGCTCAGTAGCCAGGGCTTCCTGGCAGGTGTAGCAGTCAGAGCTAAACAGAAATACTCATTGCTGTAACCTGAGAGCCCTCTGCCTTCCAGCTGCCTCCCCCAAAGTCCATCGTTGCACAAAATTGTTTGTCCTAACTCAGTAAAATCAGCTGGAACATATAGATTTTATTTTCTTGTTAGCTAATATTGTGTGCAAGATAGTTACTTGTATACCTTGACCAAAGTTTTTTTCTTGACTTACTAAAAGGTTTTAGAGTCCAGAAGCCAAATGTCTCAGCATCTTCCCTAAAACAGTGTTTAGCCTGATTATTTTAGCTACACTGATCAGATTAAGATCCGTGTCTTCAGCTTAAATAACTTCTCTCACTGATTAAATTGACTTGAGTTTTTAATAGTTAATTTGCAACTTAGTGTAAATAAACAAGTGAAATAAAAAATTTTGTTAGTGAGTTCTCTAAGTAAACTTGCACGTGTTTAGAATCAACTGCTCTGGCTTTCAGGAGATTATTCAGAAAGAGCTTTTTAACTGTTTCCACTTTGAGCTTAATTTCCTTTTCAGACTAATGAAACAAATGGAAAAGAACTATTACAAATGTCCAAAGCAGAGAGAGAGAACCTAAAGTTACCTTCAGCTGAATATACCTGTCTAGAAGTTGTTTCACAGTTAACTGCCTGTAATTCAAAGCTATCACCAGTGGTGTTTCAGCAGCAAATGCTTGAACACCTCACCAGTTCAAAACCAGTTGAACCAGCACCCTGAGATGCACCACTCACTATGCACCCATCTGAGGATCACGATGAATGCTGAGGCAACTGTTGAAGCTGGATCAATGCTGAATACTAAGATGACTGGTGATGTAGGATTATAATTTTGCTAGCAGAACATAATTCTAAGGAATGGCACTAAGAAAGGTAATCAAAAAAATGGTTCAAGCCACATGTTCATTATTCAGTTGCTTAATTAAAGATGAAATAATTTCATGATAAATTTTATATGCAGAAAAAAAAGTTGCATTTTGTGTACAACAATGGTGAAAATTAGGGACCAGTTGTAGGAATACTGTCACTTGAGTTTGCATTTCTAAGGAGAAGCTTCTGCCAAAAAGCTTTCCTGAATAATGGCAAATTGCATTTTTAAGTAGATCTACAGCTAATTTGCACGTCTTATAATCCTTCACTTTCTAAAATAAATCTGTACACTCACTTCTTGCAAAACATACTCATCTTTCACAGCAAGCAACAAAAGCTTTAAGACCATGACTTTCAATTCCAATAGGCAATGTACTTGTAAAAAGCCATAGCAAACTGCCAAGGCTTTCCTGAAGCCTCTAAAGTGCTGTAAATAATACAGGAGATCAGCTGTGGAAAAGGAAGTGTATTGCTTGAAAACTACTGACTCATTCCAAGGGCTGGACTGTGAAGACTGCTTCTGTCAAACAAATTGCTCCCCTATCTTCTCCTACTCAAATCTCCACAAGCTGCTAAAAAGGACAAGAAAGTCTCTATATAAAATCTTTATGTGCCACATGGCTGAGATTTCCAGCAGGACTGTAACAGACACTGAGTGTCCATCCATATGGAATAAAACCACAGAAGTGAGCTATGTGTCATTTGATAAAATCTTTTCTGGATTTCC